GCGGGGCGTGCGCGCCCCTCCTTCCCTCCTTCACCTCCCTCTCTCCGCCCGCCGCGAGGGCGGGAGGAAAGCGGCAGCCCCGAGCGGGAGGTGAGGGAGGCGGCGCGCCGGGAGCCATGCGGGAGTACAAGGTGGTAGTGCTGGGCTCGGGCGGCGTGGGCAAGTCCGCCCTCACCGTCCAGTTCGTGACGGGCTCCTTCATCGAGAAGTATGACCCCACCATCGAGGACTTCTACCGCAAGGAGATCGAGGTGGACTCCTCGCCGTCGGTGCTGGAGATCCTGGACACGGCGGGCACCGAGCAGTTCGCCTCCATGCGGGACCTCTACATCAAGAACGGGCAGGGCTTCATCCTGGTCTACAGCCTGGTGAACCAGCAGAGCTTCCAGGACATCAAGCCCATGCGGGACCAGATCATCCGGGTGAAGAGGTACGAGAGGGTGCCTATGATCCTGGTGGGCAACAAGGTGGACCTGGAGGGCGAGCGGGAGGTCTCCTTCGGGGAGGGCAAAGCCCTGGCCGAGGAGTGGAGCTGCCCCTTCATGGAGACCTCGGCCAAAAACAAAGCCTCGGTGGACGAGCTCTTCGCGGAGATCGTCAGGCAGATGAACTACGCCTCGCAGCCCAACGGGGACGAGCAGTGCTGCTCCTCCTGCGCGCCAAAAACAAACACACACACAAAAAAAATAGAAAAAAAAAATCTTGTTGGAAATGTGGCTTTTTTCGGCATGTACGTTTCGTTTGGTCTTGGTCGTTGAGTGTTTCCTGTCAGTGTCTGCCGCGGGCTCTGCGCTGGCAGCGGGCACGGGGGAGGAAGGCTTCGGCGAGGAGCGGTCCCTGCCCGCCTAAGAGCGAAAAACACACGCGGGGAGCCCCCCCCCCGGGACACGCGCGAGGAGAAAACGCGCGGGCACGGGGGAGGAAGGCTTCGGCGAGGAGCGGTCCCTGCCTGCCTGGAAGAGCGAAACACACGCGGGGAGCCCCCCCCCCGGGACACGCGCGAGGAGAAACCGCGGCAGCGGTGACGAGCCCTCCCCCGCGGCCACGCGTGGAGCGCCCCGCCGCCGGTCCCGAGGATCTCTATGCAAAGTTGGGTGGTTGTGCCGGGGCGTCCAGCCTGGAGAATTGCACATCTGAACTGGGACTTTAACTTAAACACTGATGCCAATACAGTGTGGGGTGCCAGAAAGTGTCTGCTGATGATTCGTGAAATAATTTTCTATTTTGTTTACCTGCTGTATCGGATGGGAGTTTGCAGGAGAGTGGTAGCGTGTTGGTTTTTCCTGTTTTGGTTTTGTTTTGTTTTGTTTTTTAAATCAGCTGTGAAAATGTTACAAATCTGCACAATTTTTTAGGTGTGCGTGTGTGTGTGATTTCGTTTTTATTTTAATTTTTCTTTGGCGGGTGGGAGCGGTGGTGTTTTTGTTCCGAGGGTTTTTCTTTTTAGGTTGGCAATAACTGATTTTGATGACTAGCTCTCTAACGTGCAAAGACTTCCTACATGTGATGCAGGGCCAACAGCAACCCTGTGTCTATAGAGTGCCTTCAAAACTCAGCTGTTCCAGCCGGTGCCAACCTGTGAAAGCTCCACAGAATCCCATTATCTACTACTCCAAAAACTACTTAACAGTTTCCTTGCAGTAATCATACCGAACAAGCCAGGACAAAAGGGCCTATTGTTAGTGGAATTTATTTCTTATTTCCATCTGAGCCTTTTAACTGTAATTTCCATGTCTTGCAAGTTCAGGCTTCATTTACTTCAAATTTACAAGAATTTAGCCTTTTGGGATTTTGGGGGGGTGGGTTTTTTTTTTTTTTCCTTTTTTTTTTTCCTTTGGTTTTGTTGTGGGATGTACCTCCAGCCAGCAAAGAAGGAAATCTTATCGTTGTGATGTACCAAGAAAATTCTAACAACTGTCATTTTAATTCCAGACATGCATTTAAGAGATGTCTATCCATTTTAAGAATTTTAATACAAATACTGTTTTTTAGAAAACAATTTTGTGCGCTTTTATGTATTACATGAAACACTAACTTTCACATAAGCTGTTAATCCTGATTTATATCTTAATAGAAGTGAAAGGCAGGGGGGGCTCGATTTAGCTAAGGAGAGTGTTTTAAAAAAAAAAGAAGACAAACCACAAGATTGCTATTTTACCTAATATTTAGTCATTTTTAATATAGTTTTTCATTTGTGTTTAGGTCCCGACCCTATGTGATGCCAGCATGTGAGTGGAACGCTGTATTCAGTAGGCAGCTTTAGGAAGGTAGTGTGGCTTTAACGCAAAAGGACTTGTAAGATTAGGCCCTTATTCCTTACTGGGAACAGCATGGTTTATTGGGGTAAAATTCTAAAGGTCGATTATTTATAAAATTTGAGCTTTCAGTCTCATTGCATTATAACTCTTTAAAATTATGCATCAGACCATTACTTTTTTCTGGTTTGCAGAGGGGTTGGAGTGGGAGGAGACCTGTACCTTCTGTCATTTGGAAGATCTAGGGAGTTTGTTTACCTCCATTATCTTCCTCTCTTAGCTCCTTCTTTAAAGATTAGCACACAAAACCTGCAACTCTTCCTCCCCCCCATCCCAAGACGACTTGAAGTTATCTTACCACATGAAAGCAAAAGTTGAGCAATGATGTGTAAAGGGGTTTTTAATCAGGCCAACTGAAAACTAACTGCCATGATTCCTACTGTGAATCTGATGATTTCTTCTATTTTAAGTAGGAAAGCTTTCTGCTTGAGCACTGGAAGAACAGTTTTTAGTATTAGTTTAGTTCTATGTATTGAAATCCCAGTGATTGAAATTAAAATGATAATCTTGTGTTTTAGCTGAAAATTGGATACCTATTTTAGCAACACCTACTGACAATTTGGAAAAGATTATATACTTAAGTATTGAACATATCTCTTCTCCTTAGCTCACATGTATCCTTGAAAACAGCAAGGACCTGTTCTGATACAATCAGTTGGGTTGTATTGGTCAGACTGATACAATCACAGTTAAAAACAAAGAGGGTTGGAGAAGGCAACCCTAGTGATGGTCCCTCAACTTGTGCTTGGGGCCTTCATATAACAGACAAATTGATCCAGCCCCCCATTTTTAAGTGAAAACTGAAAACCTCTTTGCAGCTTATCTTTCAGAAATTTCTAAAAATTAATTAGAAGCCAGCTCCTCGTGGCCTTCCATGTTAGAGGGGCAGGGGAATAATGCTTATTAATAGTAGAGACTTCTTTTAACAGAAGTGTTGCATTGAAAACTAAGAAAGCTTGACTGCAGCCGTCTTGCACTGAAGTTTAAAAAAAATGCCATAAATTTACATCTCAGCTATTGCTATGGTTCAATTTTGCCTTAAATTCAATGGGATTATACAGTTTTTAGCACCCAACAGGCCTTGCTCCAGATCAGTGTATTGAAAGCAACTTGTTCCACTTAATAAAAGCAGATATTTATTCTGTTCTCCCCAACAGATAGCAGATTCTTCATGTTTTCTAGTGCCTCCTGTTTCCCTACTGCCTGTGTTCTGACTGAGGAATGCTTCAAAAATGGGTGTTTGTAGCACACAGCAGCACATAAAGTCCAGTTTTTCTCAGCCTAGCTGAGCAGCTGAAGGCAGCCTAGTAAGTGCTGGATTATGCTGGGCTTTTTTGTAGATACACTCTAGTTCTTGCCAAAAAGGTGTGTTCGTTAAACAGTGAAGGACTTAAGAAACCATGGCATGGGTCTAATCAGAGTTTTGAATGTATTTAGATGTTCAATGTTCTCTATGATTTGGTGAGGACAGTACAAAAAGTAGAGCTCAGTAGTCTGATCTTCCAAATACTCTGAAGTGTTTTGGTGCTTGTTAAACATAGGCCTTGTCTATAAAGTAGAAAAAAGTCATACTGCTTTAACTTGACTGAATAATGAAAGCTATATTAGCTTCTACACTTGAGGAAAATGTTGTATCAATATAAAGGTACTCTTTTATTCCTTTTCCCTGTGGGAATATGTTATACCCGTGTCAATACAAAGGTGGTAATAGCTCTTTTCACAGTGAGAATTGCAAATATTTAATTGATTTGGAAGAAAAATTACATTCCCAGCCAAAATACTTCCTGACAGTGCAGAAATTGTGTAAACAAGGCCTTAGTTTAAGGCTGGTCTTACGGCCACATATTTTGCTGTACATAATGATTGTATTTTTAAAAATCCAAGCTTGTTCTATTGCAAGAAAGTGTCTTTGAAATCCTAGTCTCTATGATTGTAACTGTGCAGTATTCTCGACCTTGTTTTCAGTATAAGTGTGGTTCTTCTCAACACAATGCTCAGGCTTTATTGATGCTTATGGTTCTGGAGATGATGTTGAATTCTGTGGCTGTGGGATTCCTGATGGTTCTGCTTCTCTCAAAAGAATGTACGGCAAGTTTTTTGCAAAGGGCATTTTAAATAAAGGGCAGTTGGCTCTTTATGACTTCTTCATTTGGATACTCATTACATACAGGTGTTGTTAAGTATCAGATTTCCTCAAGGAGTGACAAAATGCAGAAACCTCCATTTTCTTTAAGAATTTTGTATGAAAAGGAGTGGCATGTGTGTTTTCTTGAATCTTCTCCCATTCAAATTAATGGACAACTCCCATGACTATAAATGGAAAATGGTTGGAGCTCTACTGCTATTAGAAGCTCTCTTACTCTCCAGGTTTGTATAGCAGGCAACCCAGACACTTTTCTTGAGAGACCTTCAGTGTATCTTTGGGAACTATTATTTGGGGTGCCCATTCATGTTCTGGTGAGATTTGAGACTTGCTGTAGAAGCAAGTATGTGTATGAGCTCTGTTCAAAGGTGAAATAGTTTTAAATAATGATCTTCATAGCTTATAGCCTGCTCCTACAGTGTTTATAGCCTCATGCAAAATGTGTATGTTAAAAAGATTCTCCTTCCTGTCACACTGTTACAGCATGGTGCTCTAGAATCTCATTTTTGTAGGAATCCAACATCTGCCCAACTTCTAAAACTTTTTATTTGGGGCTGACAACCTTTGGTAAACGTGTGCATAGCAGATGAGAATGATTCAATAGTAGATTTTTAGTTCAAACAGCTGAAGATATTCAAATGAGTTATAGTGATGAGAAATGGAGTGGAAGTGCGTTGCTGGGGCTGGGTATGTTGGGTTTGGGGTTTTTTTGGTTTTTTAATTTGAGTAGACTAAGGGTTTGTTAGTCTGTAATTGAGAATCTCGCTGTATTTCCCAAGTAAGAGTCATCGAGTGTGTGTATTTTGACTTCATTGGGGTTGGAATTTAAATTCTTGCCCTTACCACATGATCTCAACCTGTGTGATCTCAATTCTTCGTGTAGACAGCATCACGCTGAAGAAAATGCCCAATGAAACCTGAACTGGTTGACCAATAATAGGCTAGAGCAGAGAGATTTAAGCGCAGAAAGTTTAAGAACAGCCATTAAAATTTCCCTATAGCTATTTTAAATTTCTGGAAGGATATGACTGCTCTAATACGCATCAGGTGCTGCTTTAATACTGTTGATGCTAAAGCATAGTGATTCAGTAGATGACATATTGTGCATAAAACAAATACTATATGTAAATACTTAATCTGCAATATCTAACAAGGTCTTAGATCCTATATCAAACACTGTAAAATTAGAAGTCAGTTAACCAGAACTTGCAAGTTGTTCAAATAAGTCTTAAAATATTGGAAGCAGCTGTTCTGTAATGACTTTTATTTTGGCAGTCTCTGGGTCTTTTGGAGGTTTGGGCAAAGAGGAGACTAAGTGATCAAGAATCCATAGCTTTGTTTTGGTAATCCTCGACTGAGAGATATTTTTAGGAAAATGGTGTCTGACATGT